GGGACGTGTTTCATTAGCCAGTAAATCTGCGTCTTTTTAATTTCAGATACAAAGACCTGCGTGTATTTCAACTCGAGCATCCGACGAAAGTAATCGAGTGGACGGGTGACAAAAGTAAAGCGTCTCTGAATTCCTGAAAAAGTTGAATCATTAAAGTAGAAAATCCACTAGATTCTAAAAAGGCTGTTTTTCTTCTGTATTCCAGATATTTGTGTTGCAGGATACACTGAAGCAAGAAGCGAAATCTTGGAGTTACTTCTGCCTCTTAAATTATATGCAGGAGAAAACCAGGTGAATGAAGACACTAGTATGTTTTTTGAATGTGCCGTTCATTTAATTAACTGCTTATTGGTCACAACTTTAGGGTCTTTGTGCAGAAAGAGACTTCAAAGTACAGCATGGTGGCTTTTCTGAGGAACCTGTTGAGAGTTTGATACATATCCCTGGAACAAGGTAATAACTAGATCTTGATATGTTCAGAATAAAGTTCAGAAGCCTTTTCTATTGCAATTTGCAACAATCTATTTCAGTCCGTTTACTGGCAAAATACTGCTGAGTTTGATTTGACACAATGCCAACAACAGCCAGATATTGAGAAATATTCAGTTCGTCTCAGTTTTAAAAATGTAGAGCCCTATTTATCGTGCCATCTGCATGATTATTTGATATATGGTTCTTTACAGGTGTGTGGTGACTAGTGGAAGTTCTAGTTCGACATTGCAGATTTGGGATACTGGAGGCGATGATAGCGGTAGGATTCATGTCTGTGTAGTTCATTACAAATAGAATTAGCAATGACAAAGTAAACAAATCATCTACATGCATTTGATGAATTATGTGTAATTATCTTCTAAATACAAAATCATTATTTATTATAATTATTAAAAAATAATCTGACATATTTTTGAATTCATGGAGCATTTTGCAAATCCTTAACATTTCATGTAGCATCTTACCTGATTTTTCAATACAGATGTTATAAAAGGGACTGGAGTCATAAACCTCAAGAGCACATCAGCAAAAGGCAGTAAAATAGCACCTGGATTGACAGACGAACCAGCAGTCCTTCATGGTTCTTGTATAAGTGAAGTTCAGCTGACAGAGATCGCAACAGGACAGATTCTGTATACAGTAGGTAATATCAAAACGTACTTATTTTCTTTATTTTTAAATGCTGTATCAGTTCAGCTCATTTAATCTGACTTTTTTTTTCTTTTTACAGCAAAAGAGTCCTCAGATTCAGTGAGTGGCTTACAGTTTGTGAATGCTTGTGTGTTTCTCATTTGTGCAAGCGATGGCACTCTGCTCAAGGGTGACACAAGAGCTCCCTCGACTTGTCATTATCCTCTGGAAGACAGTAAGAGTGGTTTGCACTGGTCATTTGGATTGAGGAGTGACAGCTCTCAGTCAGAACCTTCCTCTTGTACTGTAGCAAGACTCTCGTCCTCTGGTCACATGCTGTTGTCTGATCTAAGAAATTTACAGAGTCCGTTTTGTCAAACCCAACTAAATGTTCAACACAGCACATGAAAGAATGACTTCCTGAACGTTTCTTGGGCTCCTGTTCTCGACAGATGTCTGTCTGTGTCGGGTAAGTAGGGCTGGACGATATGGCCAAAATTGATATCACGATATATTTCTTCATTTCGGTCAATACGATATAATTCCGATATCGATATGAACACTATTTATCTGAATTCGAAATCTTTTGTAACATTATAAATGCCTTTATCATCACTTTTGATCAATTTTAGCATCCTTGCTAAATAAAAGTATTCATTTCTATAATTTCCCAAAAAATTAATAAAAATGATACTGAATGGAATAGTGTATAATGTTACAAAAGTTTTTTTATTTCAGATAAATGCTGATCTTTGGATCTTTCTATTCATCAAAGGATCCTGAAAAAAAAAATTACTCAATGGTTTTAAATATTGATAATCAGCAAATCAGCATATTAAAATGATTTCTGAAGATCATGTGACACTGAAGACTGGAGTAATGATGCTGAAAATTTACCCATGTATGATCACAGGAATAAATTACATTTTAAAATCTATTAAAATATAAAGCAATTTTAAATAGTAAAAATATTTCAACATTTTACTGTTTTTGCTGTACTTTGGATCAAATAAATGCAGCCTTGGTGAGCAGAAGAGAATTCTTTAAAAAAAA